TCCTCACAAGAATATATGAGCCTATTTATATAGGCGTTATTGCACAATCGTGCAATATACATGCAATCTCGAGATATATGCACAATCTCGGGATGTGGGTTTCTGTTCTAGCATCCTTGGTGACCCATCAAAAGAACGATTTTGCATGAGTTATGTTGCGATATTAACCAACGCGGAAGCTAAACTCGAGATCTTGCCATTTATGTCAACGCGAATATAGCCAAAGAAATAATGAAGAACGACAAAGGACACGCGATATTTACATAGTTCGGTCCGACGTATCGGAACCTACGTTTACCGGGAGAGCCAGCACTATATAATCCATTATAATCAGAGAATCCAAGTTCACAATAATCACTCACAATACTCGAGTATTTTTCACGCTTAGATTAAATTCAAATTTCAAGTGTTTATAAATAAATAACTCATTTGGACGTAAAGACTCACCACACAAAACCTCGTGTGCAAAGAAAGAAACTCCACTGTTCGGCTCGGATTTCCCCGTGCGTTTTCACTTCAGGAGGCGTCCTTGAAGAAAGTCAAATGCATGCACCCACAGACTCAAACGCACACACTCACAGCCTCACAAATTCACGAGTTTCTATGTGGTTGCAGCGGCTCCTTCAGGAGCTCTCTCACGGAGCCTTCACTGTTTAATCATTGTGCTGTGGAAGAGCCCTCTTGCGGCGGCACCACTCTTGGGAAAAAGAACATCCTAGGGCTACATAAAGAAAAGCTATTTTATTTTTACCTTTTTCTTTTCTTTTCTTCGTCAGACCCTAGCTACCCCCGTTTCTTGTCTCTTTTATCATCAAAACTTCTTCATACCTCAAAGTAATATTATAATAAAGTGATTTACTTTTTGTCTTTTAACGCATGAGAGCTTCTCCTTTCTCTTTTATTTTCTTCTCTCTCATGTCTAACCTTCAGCAAAGGCGAGTCAAACTCTAAAATTTCATTTTGCTATCACACTTGGATATTCATCTCACCGGGTTGGGTCCCGTAATGGATAAAACTTGAGATATAATATAACAAGTTACTCTAAGAAGAACATTCAGCGAGTTGTTCTTGGTACGTAGTGCAAACCGTTAGAGCGTTGGGTCCCCATCTCAAGAAAATCGAGTCCACCTCGAGCAAAATAGACCCAATCGTCAAGTAATGGGGCTAGTACAACAAACAGCTGGACCGTAGTCCGAAGGAGATGGATTCGATCAAGGACCTATATGTTAAAGGCAAAAGACCGGTTGAGAATTGCTCAAGGATCCACCAGCTCAACTTTTGCAAGAAGTATATGCACTCCAACTAGCTAACCGAGTTTGATGCAAAAGTCCTGTGGGGTTCCAGATTTACATGTCGCTGCTGAACATGAGGATCAACGGGAAGATATTGTGGGAGGTGAAGGAGATGAGGTTAGAAGTCAAGGAGTTGATCCGTTCCGGTCAAGCAAACAGCAGGAACCTCAAGTGCAGGCTCAGGGCTTCGGGCAACCTCCCAGATATTGAAGGTGTGTGTAATTACGGTATTGATTGATCCAAAACTAATTAAAGTAGGGATGAATTCATTGATTCAATGAACACTTCAACAATCATGCAATATACGGATTTGGTAACTAGTTCAATTGATCGAAACTTAATCCTGAATGAACTCGATGCATGTGAGTCCACTCCATCTCAATCGTTAGATCATACATGTCTCACGTGGAGTCCACAACATTAAATGGCTGAGCTGAAGTGGCTTCACATGCTCCGGTGCACACAAATATTGTACCTAGCAGCCCAAATTTGAAGTAATAAGTTTCAACTGTACATGTAAATGATGTTCTCAACTTATGAGTTTGCAATTCAGGACTTCCTCTAATCACGGCAAGAGGAAAATATAGTCCTCACTCTAGTGCCACTGTACAAGGACGCAAGCGCAATTAACACGAGGGTTCTCCCAATTGGAGTCATCTTCGTCAGATTTGCTCTTGATTCCTTTGTTACATATAAGATCCAAACTTGATTTGGCTATTTATGTAAGGTGATGCTATGGCTTTCTTTTCCTTTAATAAAGGTGAGGTTATTTAGTCGTTGCCGAATGTTGGGAATAAGCTCATTTGATGTATCCTATTAATTATCTGTTTTTTTGTTAATCTAAAAGTACTCGAAGCTTGTCACAATGTTGATAGTGAAAGGTCTACGTTCTATCTAGAGATAATGATACAAATGGTCGTTGAACTTTGATCCTCTAAGCAACGTGATCTCTAAATTATTAATTTTGTTCAATGTGGTCTCTGAAATTTTTGTACATATTCAATGTAGTCCCTGAACTATATGAAAATGTTCAATGTAGTCACTGGTATTGAATTAATGGAAGGATTACATTGAATATTTTCATTTAGTTCAAGGATTAAATTGAACATGTACCAAAAATTCGAGAACTACATTGAACAAATTAAAAATCCATGAACCACATTGCATATTGAGTTAAAGTCTTGGAACCACATTAAAAAAATAAAAAGTTCAGCGATCACATTGCACATTGAGCCAAAGTTCATAGACTATTTGTGTCATTTTCCCTTCTATCTAATCTTTAGTCTATTTTTATCCGGCTAACAAATCTAAGGAGGAGAGCCTAAGAGTACATTCTTGATTAGATAATTACTTTCCATCTTATTTACTTGGTATAGGAATTTCATGCTTCTTAAGCATCTGTACTTTTCAATTTTCGATATCTTAAACGACTAAAAGAATATCTAAAAGCTTGTTTTTGTAAGCACAAACAAGTCGAACGACCCAATTGCAATAAAGAGTGAACATTATGCATGATCAAATAGATTTATAGAGTGACATAGTTATCAGTTATTTTATATATGATCTAGAAACTTGAATTGAATTCCCAAGAGTACACTTACGTAATTAGCATATTATTAAATTTACATATGCCTAATTAAATGAAACTTTCCAACAATCCGTATTCACAAGACGAGGCAACTGCCTCCCCAACTAGAATAATGGCAATTATTAATAACAATTTAATTCCTATGTTAATAAAATTATAACGTGTTTATCATAAACACTAAACTTACGAATAATAATTTCCATAATAATCCATTTTAGAATAATCATAATAGCTCGTACTATAAAATGCAGTATATTGAGAACACTCCATGCCTTTTAAGCATTTCGGGGGCTTTTATTAAATTTACATGTCTCAAAGAATTTAATTAACCATAGAAAAATATGAATTTCTAATGGTATTAGAGCCTATAGTTGATTAGTGGCACACTCTCAATGTGTATCGGTGTTCGTGAATATCTCAAGAAAAAAATTTCATGACTAATGTGATATTCGGGCAATCTTCATGATGTGGTGTGGCGAAAGAAACCTAGGTGAAAGTGAGCGCTGTGGTGCAGCAACGTGTTCCTAATGGTAGCCTTCATTGTTTGGTTTGAAGAAACATACCTGGGATGAAGGTGTACGTTATTGTTGTTGCAGTCCTCACAAGGCAAAAAAGTGAAAATTCAAGTTGAGAAGTGTTGATGCCAAAGGACACCTAAGTTAAGAGGGAGCGGACTAACACTAAGTTCACATGTGAGGGGAGATTACTGAAAAACATGTGTAAGTTGTGTAAGAAAAAATCCACATAAGAGAATTAGTGTGGTGTAAAGTAATTAATATCCTAATTTGCTCATAACATATACAAATGAAGGTATCGATTTTCTATTGTATGCTTGCAACAGAATTAATGTCCATGTAGGGATGACAAAATGATAAGAAGAAGCTACGTGAAATTGCAAGTTTTAGGACTTAAATGAACGAAATAAAAGTTTATGAGTTAATTGCACTAATACCAAAAGTTCAAAGATTCGTAGTTTAATTATCCCTTTGAAATTTTTGTTGATTTTCTACCACAAAAGCGAAGATTAAAGTAAGGGGAAAATTGTCCATGAAGTCTTAAACCTATTACACTTTGGTCAATCCAGTCATAAATCTTTCAATTTTGACAATTGAGCCCTAAACTTTTTCATGGTTTTTCTAATTGAGTTTATTCGGCCAATTTTAGCTAGAAATCGCTGATGTGGACACCACGATTTGCAAGTAGATTTGAAACTTATGCTCCGTTCGTTTAGCGGAAAATGTTACTTTTCTGAAAAATGTTTTCCCGGAAGTCATTTTCTGGTGTTCGGCTGAAATCTGAAAAAGTTTCGAAAAATATTTTCCATTGTTCGATATGGAAAATATTTTCTTCCTTGCACTACTTTTAATAATTTTTTATTTTTATTTTTTAAAAATATTTTTAATTTTCTTTTTTCTTTTTCTTTTTTCCTTCTTTTTCTTTTTCCTCAGCCAGTCGCCGGCCACGGCAGCAGCTGGCCAACCGGCCTGTGGCGAGGCTCCGGCTAGCCTCATCCAGCGCGGCCAAGCTCGCCTGACCGGCTTGTGGCAAGGCTCGAGCTAGCCGGTCGCCGGCCGCCGCCGTGGCCGGCGACCGGCTGAGGAAGAAGAAGAAAGAAAAAAAAAAGAAAAAGAAAATAGTGAAAATAAATGGTGAAAGAAGGCTTCCGGGAAAATGTTTTCCTCTTTTGAGAAAGAGGAAGTCATTTTCCTCAAAAGTGAAGGAGTTTTGTCCATAGGAAGGAAAATGTTTTCCGTGGGAAGTTATTTTCCGTGAAACGAACGGAGGCTTTGTAAGTAACCATCCTCTAAGCTAATTTACAATTACTTGGAAGTACTACAGAGCCATGTATGCGGTTGATCAATCAGACAGCGATTACACATACAATGTTCCAGAGTTGGTGTAAAAACACTCTCTATGCCTTCAAGGTTTCAATTTCATGACAATGCCTAGAATCATATGGCTTATTTGCTTCATTCTAAGACAAACCCAAAAAATTTTAGCCACAAACAACACCGACACAACTCTGGAACATTTAATTACTTTGTATAGCCAAGAACCATTGTTTCTTGGGCTTCCCAGTTAAAAAACTGAGGAAGCTATTCAACGGGTGTCGATCTTTATCACATGGTGTTGCATATGCTTGGCAGGTCAGGTGCATGTTGGGCTACATTGTAAACTGGGTATTGCGGGCACTCCATATAGTAGGCTGGCGAATATTGCCTCGGCCATGTGTAACCATGATGATGAATTGGACAACAATATGTGCCGCAGTGCTGACTGCTCCTTCCTTCTTCATCGCTAATTTGTTGCACGCTCAATATGGCCGCCTGCCGGAATTTCTCCCTGAGCGACTGGACCAGTGTGGCCGGGTCTACTCCTTCTCCCGTCACGACCAGCTCGTCCCCGTTCAATCCTCCTATCGACACGGAGATTATAGTCCCTGTTCAACAAGAAAATAATGAAAAACATTTCTTATGAAAGTGTTAAACTCGAGACAAACAAAAGTGAATTTTTTGGGATGAGAGTGAAATTACTAACCCTGTGCACGAGCAACAATCCGTAAGGCTTTTGATCTGCATCTATCGCTGTTCATTGGTATCCTCATAATTATCTTTTGCTGCACCATGGCACGACCTTATCAATTAGCACTCATTCAACATGTGAAAAGCTTTTTTCTTTCCCATTAGTTTTTCCAACAAAAAAGAAGCATATGTCGAATAAGTAATTGAAACGTGAAGATAATACCTTCAGATTCATGTCCGTTCCCTGAATTATATAGATATGTGAGATGGAAAGGAGTTCAAATCAGAATGGATATGGAGTGGTTGATGAAAAATGGGGGTTGAATTGCATATTTATAGTCATTCTTCAATTTGTTTTAAGGCAAGAGCTATTGTAAGTGATGATATATAGTCATCATACTTGATGAGTTTCCACACTTAGCTCATTCAGGTTTGGCAAAAGATTGTCAATAATAACTTTGTTTCCTACCTTGTGAGATGTACTCATTATGAATGTATACTTTGGCTTATATATTATTTCAAGTCTAGTCTAGGTAGGTAATTTATTTCTTCAAGGGCTTAGTTTTTTTTTTAATTATTTCTAGATATCAATGGGATGTCTCAGGTTCTTTGAGCATCCGATTAGTCCCCATCGAGTGGCTGGGTGATTATCGAAGATCTATTAATGACACATTTTAATCAAGATAACAAAAGTTTCAGCAATCATAGAAAAATGAAAGCTAGCAATGGGTTGACGATCGGTCCCGCTAATCGGGTTTTTGAACTGAAGGAAGTGGCGATGATTGGTCGAGAAGAGCTGTGAGATTAATCTACCAATGGGTTGCACGTGGGCCGCACAAGTTATAATTTTTTTTTTATTTGGGAAAATGACACGAACCCTCTCTGAACTTTGACTCGATGTACAATTTGGTCTCGGTGTCTGAACTTTTAATTTCTTCAATGTAGTTCCTGAACTTTAACCCAATGTTCAATGTGGTCCCCGAACTTTCAATTTGTTCAATGTGGTCCCTGAACTTTTGGCACATATTCAATATAGTCCCCGAACTTTATAAAAATGTTCAATGTAGTCCTTCCATTAATTTAAGTTCAGAGACTATATTGTACATTTTCATATAGTTCAGGGACTAAATTGAACATATACCAAAAGTTCAGGGACCATATTCAACAAATTGAAAGTTCAAGCACCACATTGAATATTGGATTAAAGTTCAGGGACTACATTGAATAAATTAAAAGTTTATAGATCAAATTGCATATTGAGACAAAGTTCAGGAACTGTTTGTGTCATTATCCCTTTTTATTTCAATGAAATTTTACTTGAAAGGATTATACCGAGACATATACGATATTGATTGTTCCCGCTATCGATTCTTTTTTCATGCAGTAAAGTCCAGAGAAAGGAAGCACTAGGAAAATGATCTAGCCTCCGACGATGTGTTTCGACCAATAGGCCGGCTATCTCACATGCAAATTTTGAATCACTATGTCTCAACTCTCAACAATTGATTTATGCTTCTCTCTCTGGCCAAACACTCACTGATCTTAGGTTAAAAAAAAGGTCCTCTATCTCTCTCTATTGGAGGATGCATGAATTGCCAGGACGGCGAGGTTCTGCCGGGCATGAAGGAACGTCGCTTGGAATTAGTATGGCCATCCTTATATTAGATATGAGTCGATCCATGGCATATCAATAGACTCTGGGACTTCTCTTAGGACTGTGCTATGTGACAGGATAAACCCTCAGTCATCTGATTTCAAATGGCTAAGGTATCAGAACCTGTACTAAGTAAAGAGCCTAACAAGCATGCCCGAAATTTGAAGGCTGGACGAAACATTCTGTGGAAAGTTTGTGCCACCACTAGGTACTTTTCAATTTTAACAAAAGGTATCTGAACTTTCAGGTGTTACCAGTGGTGATTCTCAGCATCAAATCAAAAGAAACGAGAAAACATAATCGATCACAACATCCAATTTGCTTTTTCCACTTAGATATCATTCCTTTCCATCGTTGCAAGAGGACAACACAAAATTATACAGCTTGCAAAAGAACACTTCTTCAAACCAAATTATCTGTACAACGAGCCTTTGTACAAAGCTACAGGCAGGGAAAGCAGACCCAACTTCCCCTAGCAAGAGCTTGTTAACTCATCCCATGCCCCAAGCAACCACCCTTCATAAATTTAAGAATTTCATCTGCACAAAATGTACATAACAAAGATTTTCACTATCATTACGAACCAATTATCCCATCCTCTTTTCCTTCACTTTTATCTGTTGGGGTTGGGGAGCAAGAGACATACTGTGGCAGTATGCTTAAGCCACCAAGGTGGACTCTTGCCATGAGCAGTAGGTTCAGAATAGATGCTACTTGATCTAAAGCAAGTCCTCAACGAGATAATCCACCTACTCCCTGACTCACTGAATTCGTGTGGAATCATAGGAAAGCGAAGTCAACCTGCAGAAACAAAGGATTGATTGCTAATTGAGCTAAAGCACACTGAAAGAATCGAGTCACGTAGAGACTCCCACAAAGCAATGAACTTACCATCTTCAGAAAAGGCAAATACACCACCAAGAATTTCATCCTCTTCTCCATCCGCAAGTTTGTCCTTCTCATGGGGGCTGCTGCTGTCAACATCATCAGATACAACTTCAGTTAACCCGTGGCATCCATCAAGCTCTAAAGCTTCACAATATCCTTCTTTCAAAAGCTGCCCAAACTCTATGTGATCATTTGTGGCTGCAGGTATGACTGCCTCCTTAAGGATGTCATTAGCTGAACCCAAACTAGCAGTGCTTGGTGCAGAAACCTTGCGTACAATCACGGTGTTTGAACTTGAAAATGCAGGACCATCTGATGTTTTCTCCACGGAAGGAAGATTATTCTTTAAAAAGGGTTCGTGGTGTGCACCATACTCATTCAAGTGTTCCCTTGATCTTTTTAAATTTTCAGCTGCAAGAAGTGCAGCAGAGGACTCTTTAAGCATGGAAGGCTCAACAAAGCAGTTTTCCCTTCTTTCTGGGTAAAACTCATCCATAGACTGACAAGTTGATAAATAATGCTTCTCATTAGTCACCTGATCTAAATCAGGTAAATTTTCAATCCTCCTTGATGAACCTGAGAATAATTGAAAGAGACCGGGTAAGTTCAATCAGTACAGAAGCCTTCCAGAAGTTGTAATGGACTGAAAAGCACATGAGAGACTGCTGGATCTACAAGAGATGCATGTAGACAAGAGCAGTACCATGACAGCATTTTTAATCTGTGAAAACAATCAAGATGTATAACACTTTCAAATTCTTACCGCCGTCTGAGCTTTCAGTAGAACTAAGAGATGCCGGTTTTGAGTGGCATATAACAGTCTCTTCAGCAGGCTTGAGTTTCACTTGGTGCAGATCTGAAGGTGCAAAACTAGAATATCTTCCCATAGTTGAAGCTCTGCATAAAACAGTAAAACAAATGAGCAAAAATAGCACGTCCAATAAATAAAAGTTCCTTAGAGAGAGAGAGAGAGAGAGAATACTTTAATTAAAAAAAACCACTATGTTGCATCTAGACAATGAAATGATCTACAACAGGGCATTTTAAATCAGTGGCTGTATTTCTAGCCAAATCATAGAACCTGTGGGTTGTCTGATTTAGTATATGGAGAGGTAATCAAAATGACTTTCAAAAAGAGATCAATCAAAAGAAGTGATATCTCAACTAGAAACAATCACATTCCCAAACAAGGAATTTGCAAGGCTCGAGTTGACAAAGTAAAGTTTACTACTTAATTCAAAGACCAAATATAACACTCATTTGCATGCAGCAATGAACACATTTGGTTGAAACTAACCAAATTTTATGGCAACATGGAAAAACAGAAAGCAGAAGAACACCATATAAAATGACATAGATAGTAGCGGCACCTGAGTAAGCTACTCACCACATCAGAACAGATTAGAGATTGATTATATACAAGCTTTAAATAAATATGAGAAGACTCGTATTTACATCTGAAGTAATACAATTCGAGAAAAATCTTAACCTAATGGGAACTTGAAGAATAAAAATCATAGCATTAGAATAAGTGTTATCACCTATCATTCCAGCAGGATTTGATGCTATGAAAGTGATCAAAAACAGGCAATAACTCCTTTCTCTTTATTTCGATTTCATGAATTGGCAACTTCTCAATTTCAAGCTCTCCAGCAGCCCAAGCACTAATCGATGGGGAACCCATTGTATGGAGACATATCTAACAAAGAGAAGAAAAAGAACAAATGAATAGATGCGGACAATTCATAGATAACCAACATATCTGCATTTTGAATTAATTTACCTCTGATTTGTGCCAGACTGGCAACCTTCTAGAGCTTACTTGCACTTCTGCATTAGACAGGTACCAATGAGACCTCTCATGGGACTTTGTTATGCCACCCTTCAAAGGTTTCTTACCAACAACGATTCTATTCACATCCGGAAAATCCACTCCACAATTACTTTCATTATCACTCAACCTTATAGCATCTTGTTTTTCAGAAGAAATAGAGATGCTGCATTCATCTCTTTCTGGCCAATCTAACCTCCTACATACATCCCACCATTGAACAGGTTCAACTTTTACCCTAAGCTCATCCTCCTGTATTTGCAAAAAGGAACCAGGTCGAGCGTTAGAACCAGCATCCCCAGTTTCCACCCCAAGTGAAGGGAGAAGTTTGTGCTGAATTACATGCCCTGATGGAGTGTAGACTAGCAAATGTTCAAGTGGATTGATCCTAGATTTGGCATGCTGAAGACTGTGAGACATTGAATTGTGAAAAATAGCAGCAACAGCTCCAGATGGCACAAAGACCTTCCCCGTAGCAGAAGCAGCAGCATTGCTAACAGTAGTGAGCCATCCAGAATCATTATATTTAATCCTGCTTACCACCGAAAGAGTAACAGGTGGAGGCGGTGGGAAACATTGTTGGTTACTCAAAGATGATGGATTACTCCACCAAGGTATAGAATGAACTGAGAAAACAGAAGCTTCTTCACTCTGAGAGCTGTGATTATGGAATCCCGGGTCCCCACCGAAAGGGGATAGAACAAAAACATGGCAAGTTCCCTTCGATGAAACAATACCGACCCATTGACTATAAGGACTAAAGCATATGTCTTGGATAATCTGCCAACAGCGCACACAGAAGGAGCAGCCATAAGAGAAATGGATGAACATCAAATTCATACACATAAGTGACAAGAAATCTGAGAAAACAAAATAATACTCACTGCTGAGGTTATTCCGCGATGCAGCCTGTAAAGATGCACATGGGCAGAACTCCAACTATAAGTTTGATTATCTGATCCACCTCGTGTGCAAGATGGCATGATACGGAATACATTAATTGTGTTACCATAGACTGAGGCAGTTACCAGAAGAGTTCCACTAGGATCAAAACATAATGCAGAGATTGGACTTGTGTGGGCTTTGAATTGCGATATAACAACTCGAGAAACAAAATCCTTGATAACAACCTGAAATCACCAATAGTTTCTGGCATCAAGGAATTTCAAGTTCTACATTTGTAATGATCATTAAATATCCAGAAACAAGTGATTTGTAACTTTGTAACTGTTTAATTATAGGACGAACTATTTCGACCAAAAAAAAATTTATAGGACGAACTAGCTATTAGTCAACTCAAAACATACAATTCCTCCAGACTTCTACCCATTTCACTAGGACATCGTCTTGAATTCATAACTCTCAAAACCTACATATAATAGGACATGAGAGATAAGACCTTCACTGCTCCATCAGGAACATGTGTAGATAAGACGTTTGTTGCTGGGGACAATATTGCCGATATGAGGTCAATCGCTTAGAAAGATCTAAATTAGGTAACGAATAAACCACATATTCGCTGAACCACAAAAATAGAATAAAATGATTGAAAAATCCCGAAACTTTCAGTCAATGCCAATGCAATCGCAGGATTTCTGCAGCAATGTTTTTGACAACCAGGTTTAATACAATACTAACCATCCCAGCATTATCTGCTTCTGATGCTGTAGCCCTACCAACCTTCCAACCCGAATTTGAAGATACAGGAGAGTTGGATCCATCTGGAAGCAACTCTTGACAGTATTTTGACAAAGTCTTGTATCCCATGTCACCCAAATTCATAATACCGGCAGCCAAATGTCTACTAGATTCCATTGCATAGCGTGCCATCAAACTGCTGCTGCCTGGAGAAGTAGAAGGACTAACACCAGGGGAAGTGAGATTTTGGGGGCTTAAACGGCCTGTGTTTGACATTAGCGGACTATTGGAAGCATATGCTAACCACCTTGGCCCAACAGCCATTGGGCCATAACCAAAGTTAACCCCAATCGGCCCTTGTCCTGCCAGCTGAGGAACGGGATATGTGAGAACGCTGAACTTGATCTCAAGCGTGACCGCGTCAAAGCAGTATATCTGCCATTACATTGTCGGTGTCAGTCTAGTACCCCAGTGAATATGTTACCTCTCAATAACCAAACCATGCACCAAGTCAAATCATAAACTTTCAGTCAAAACACTAGAGGGAAGAAAATGATTAAGAGTTCCTACTATTTAAATTAAAACTGAAAACTTTCTAGCAAGGTAAAACAAAAACAGTAAGAGAAAGCATAGTCAATCAGCTACTCTGCATGAAATCAATCTCAAGCTGAAATGGTGGCTTTCCACATTCCACATGCATGTTTTCCATGTTAAAAAACTCCATCTAAATATCATTTAATTGCCTGCTCATAAAGTCATGCAACTGCTAAAGAATAAGCCAGTGCTTACTTGAGCAGCAAGGCCCACAGCTACAACCCGAGGACTGCATCTAACCATACAGACTGCCGATCTAAACCGCAAAACATGTACATAACAGTGAGTCTTTAGTGAATAAAACTGAACAGCCGTCGGAGAGTGCACAAATTGTCCAGAATCAGATTCCATGTAACCATCTTGACTGTGTGCAGGGTTTGGGCTTTTGGCATTTTCCCCAGAGACAACCAGCAGCAGAGGGTGTGATGCTCTGAATCCTTGAGGACCATTACAGTCCACCAGAAACGGTTGCATTTGCAAGAACGTAACTGGACCGTCACGCTTTGAGACTAGCTCAGTGAAGTTAGAAGCATCCTCCACGTCGAGAACTTGAAAACCATTCTGATAGCCAAGTAAGAGAACATGCTTGAAGATGGATGGACCAAGCTCAAGTCTGTCAAATCCAGCCCAGGTAACCTATGGACAACCGGAACTTAGATATATGCCTATGCAAGCGACATTTACAATTTCCAAAAACCAACAAGAAGTTCCATGGTAGGCTTCAAAGCTAAAGAAGGGCAGAGCCACTGTATGAAGCACATTAGGGTACAAAAGCAACATATGTATATTGGTGGATATAGTTGATGAGACATATAAAGACAATATACACTACAACCCAACAAAACAGCAACAGGATGCACATACTTCAAAGTATAGTCGGCAGCTTGGATTACTTCATTGGTGATGATTGACAAAAGACAAGATCACAAGTACAAATGATAGAAGAGCAACAAAAGTAAAATGAATGGATAGAAAGAAGGGTTCATCAAGAAGTGGTAAAAATCAGGGTGCTAATGCAATGTATATTTATTGGTGGATGTAGGTGACGAGAGATAAAAAGACAAACAATTAACATGACCAAACAAAGAGAGCAGCATATACTTCAAAAAGTTCAGCCGATAACTTCGATAACTTCATCGATGATGATTAACAAAAAGCAACTGATAGCAAGTACCTTTGATTAAAGAGCAATAAAAGCAATAAGCCAGGAAAGAAATAGGGTTTTTTTTTTTTTCAACTACAAGAAGTAAGAAGCACTTCACGGAGCATGAAACAAAGGCTTTAAAGCACAATGATACTAATCGAGATTTGCCCTGGCCAAATTAATCCAATGTCACAAAAAATTTGTTGAAAACATTCTAAACCGTCCACTGCGTATACTCCCCCTGTTACCAAATACAACAAACAATCATATTTTCTTTTTCAAATAAGATGTTCTGACAAATCATTGGATTAAGCCTAGAAGCCAATTAAATTTAAGACCCTTTACCCAAGTTTTGATCTTTAACGTGAGGTTCTAAGTAACATATAATACGAGTTAATATATGGCAATGAAGCACAAAAATCTTATGAACAATGGTGCCCTCACAAGGAAGTCTAGTGGTTATTCAAATAACAATATTTATTTGTTGTATAAAATTCTCCAAATCAAATGAAAATAGATGTCAAACTTGAAAAGGTTTTTAGCATTAATGACCTGCTTCGGTTAGTAAAAAACATGCCCATATAAATTATGTATTCAAAGAAATTCATGTTTTAAGAAAGAATTAAAACTCGCATCACAAACGATCAATCTAGAAAATTAAGCGAGATTTGAGCACGTCCAATGTTCCATATACTCAGAACTGCAAATTAGTCTTCTTAAAAAAGAAAAAAAGAACTTTGCACCGCATTCAACCTATTTTTTACAGCACTCGTCCTACTATGCGAATGAGAGACACGGTCACGAAACAAAATCTGCAGAACTCGGAACACAATCAGCACAACTCGAAGGACAGTTTTACCACGATGATGCTGATGGGAGTCGAATCAAGTTCACTACTTTCACCCCACACAGCGAAACTAGAAGCTACTTCATTAGAGCAATGTCCATGAATTACGGGAGATACTTGTATTGAGTCAGAAATCACTAGAGCAACTTGGCTATCTCAACATTAGCGACAGCAAAGCAGACACGGCCACGGAAGTATCACCAAAAAAAAACCTCCAGCCATGAACTGCGGAAATACACCTCCGACAACATAGGGAAACATCTAGCGCGCCTTCCAAAATCCAAAATTTCACATCTCAGAAAACTCCCCAAACGAAAAGATCACCGACCAGACAAAAAAAAAAAAAGCTCATCCGCAACAAACGCCAACTCTAAAGTCGGAAACGGCACGCGCGCGAGAAAGGAGAGAAGAACCTGATCCTTGTGGTCCTCGGACGAAGCGGAAACCGACGCAGCGACCGACGCCCCGGCGGAGCGGACGGTGGTCGCGACGGTGCTCGCGTTGGAGGACACGGTCTTGAGACAGGAAGAGATGATCCTGAGCGAATTCGGCAACAGCCCATTGTTCCTCCCCTTGCTCTTCTTCATCTATCCTCCCTCCCTCCCCTCCCCTCCCCTCCCCTCCCCTCCACTCAAAAGCGTCTCTCAACCACCCCCACACCCACCACCCCCACCCCCACCCCCACCGCCGCCGCCGCCGCCGCCGCCGCCACCGGCCTCACCGTAGCGACTCCGGCCCCCGCCGGCACCCCTCGCCGGCGCCGCGACCGCCTCCGGGGAGCATCTCCGATCACCGCCGATCGGAGATATCATCCGACTCCCCGCACGATCACCGGCTGGAAGGCGGGGCGCCCTCTTTGCTGGCGGAAGCTTTTCAGCGGAAGTGGGTGCTCGACGTTTGACTCCCGAAAAGCCTCGAGACAAAAGCTACCCTTCTCCCCTCTACTCCACCATCTCCCTCCCCCTCAACTCCATCTTCATCTTCATCATCTTCATCTTCATCTTCATCTCTTTCTCTCGCTCGCTCGCTCGAATAAAATGGTTTTATTATATAAAAAAAAAAACAAATAATAATATGGTGGGCGCGTGGTTATCTTTGGTGCGAGAGCAGCGGATCCGCTGTGGACCGGAGACCACTGGATTGTTTAGACCTCCATAAATAATTAAATGGGATAATGACACAAATAGTCCCCGAACTTTGGCTCGATGTGCAATTTTGTCCCTGAACTTTTAATTTGTTCGATGTAATCCTTGAACTTTAGCTTAATGTTCAATGCAGTCCCTGAGTTTTTAATTTGTTCAATGTGGTCCCTAAACTTTGGTACATATTCAATTTAGTCCTCGAGCTTTATGAAAATACATAATATAGTCCCTGAACTTGAATTAATGGAAGGACTACATTGAATATTTTTATAAAGTTCAGGGACAAAATTGAACATATACCAAAAGTTCAGGGAACACGTTGAACAAATTGAAAGTTCAGGGACTACATTGAACGTTGGATTAAAGTTCATGGACTATATTGAGCAAATTAAAAATTCAGGGACCATATTGCACATTAAATCAAAGTTCAGCAACTGTTTGTGTCATTTTCCCATATTAAATTCTCGAATTTTTTTATTTTTTTATTATTTTTTTGGTGGAAAATGTGGGAGAGAATATCTGAATGCGATCCCTAAGTGTTAAGTTTAAGGCTCCATTCGTTTGGCGGAAAATGTTTTTCAGGAAAATATTTTCTGGATTTTTCAGTGTTCGAGGGTGGAAAATAACTTCCCACGGAGGAAATCATTATCCCCCAAAGTGAAGGCAAAATTGCCCATGGGAGGGAAAATGTTTTCCTCTGAGACCCGTTGTTTGGCGGAAAATATTCTCCAAAATATTTTTCGGTTTTTCCGGTGTTCGGGGCGGAAAACGTTTTCGTGGGAAAATATTTTCCTTCCTCCTCACAAAATTTAAGTTCTACGGAAAATGACTTCCGCTTCTTCAAAAGCGGAAATCATTTTCCGAGCTTCTTCTTCTTCTTCATCACTAAGGTCGCGGCCGCCGGCGTCGGCGCCGGCGTCCGCGCACGGTCGCCGCCGCCGCGATCGCCGGCCGCCGCGCCGATCGCCGGACGTTGCCGTCGGTCGCCGGCCGCGCCGCCGCCGCTGCGGCGCCCGGCCAGCCGCCAGCCGGACCCGGTCGTTGGTCGCTGCCGCCGCCTGCCGCTGCCGCCTTGCTGGCCGCCGCCCGCCGCCGCCGGACCCGGACGTTGGCCGTCGGTCACAGCCAAACCGCCCCCGCCGCCGCCGGACGCCGGACCTTGGCCGCGGTCGCCGCTGCCGCCCTACTGCCGCCAGCCGGACGCCGGATGTTGGGCATCGGTCGCCGCCGCCGGGACGCTGCTGCCGGCCGCCGCCGCCGGACGCTGCGTCGGCCGCCGCCGCCGCCGGCGAAAAATATTTTCCGAAACTTTTTCATATTAGTCACCGAACACCGGAAAATTATGTTCGAAAAACATTTTCCAGAAAATGACTTTCGGAAAATATTTTCCAAAGCGAGAATATTTTCCGCCTTGCCGCCGTCGGATCGGCGGTCACCGAACACAAGAACATATTTTCCGAAACTTTTTCGATTTTAGCCAACACCGAGAAAATTGTGTTCCAGGAAAACATTTTTCGGAAAATGACTTAGGGAAAATATTTTCCAAAGGAGAATATTTTCCGCCAAACGGGCTCCGTTCGTTTGGCGAGAAAATATTCTCCTTTTGGAAAATATTTTCCCGGAAGTCATTTTCCTAGAAAATATTTTCCCAACATAATTTTCCGATGTTCAGCGATTAATATGAAAAAGTTTGGAAAATATTTTTCACCGGCGGCGGCGCGACCGTGGCCGGCGGCCGAGACCGGCGATCGGCGACCGGCGCGGCGGCGGCGACGCGGCGGCGGCCGGCGACCTTAGTGAAGAAGAAGAAGAAGAAGCTCCGGAAAATGATTTCCGCTTTTGAAGAAGCGGAAGCCATTTTCCATGAGACTAATTATTTTGTGAGGGGAAGGAAAATATTTTCCCACGGAAAACGTTTTCCGCCCCCCAAACACTGGAAAATCCGGAAAATATTTTCCAAAAGGAGAATATTTTCCGCCAAACGAACGGAGCCTAAATTATTGATTTGCCTCGCTGATGTAACCATCCATTTTCCATTAATCTTCGTTTCGTGGCTAAATTCCAGTTCTGCCCTTGGGGACATGACCATTTTACATCTGGACCCCTTTGAATTTTAAAATTTTTTTGGGGGCCATTCTATATTTGCGAATTTTTGGGGACATTTAGGTTTTTTGCTGGGGGGTGAAAAATTCGGACCATAATTGGGACGCGTTAAGGGAGGGTACTATCGTCAAAAGCCCGCTTCAATTTCTCCCTCGGATTGTTTAACCTTTATCGCGCATGAAGATCTCAACTAAAATAATTGAAATGTTGTGTCGTGGTCGCGTATATTTGGTGTGATCTCTTGAGGTGGAATGACCACCGTCAATTTGATTCTAATCTCAACATGAATGACATGTCTTTGACTGGATCGATAAGGTAGATTTAGTTCGACAACGGAAGTTGACTAAATAAATTAGCTAAGCACAACCTATGTTGTTAATTGAGCAAACTTAATAGCTATTTCAACCTCAATTTCTCGCAGAAAAATCCCATATAAGAAAACCCTTGCAAGTTATCAAAAATACCCTAGGACCATGCATTAGTCATTGCAAATATGTTCCCAGTAAAAAAATTCTAATGAGCATATCTATGAAATATGGTATACCAAAATCATTAGTAATTTTAGCATACTTCCTTCTTCTTCATCGTACCGTATTTCAGCTCGAGCTTGGGCTTTAACCCGGAAAAAAAATGAATTGAGATTGCGTGACTGAGCGAGTGCCTCCGAGTACTTATTAAGTATACTTGATTGGGTACGATTCAATTTTCAAGATATGGGTTATGCGTAACATGAGAGCACTTAGATCTTAGAATATCGAAAACTATAAATTTCCCTTAGTTGAATGCTTAACAAATGCTCCTAAGAACTATTTAACAAAATACTACCAACGTATATCCACCCTAAAATATGCGGTACTAATTAGGTTTTTTAATTTTTTTAACCCTTGGTTTTTAGCCCATTCATTGATCGAAAATACAACTCTTCTTAGTTATTAGAAGATAGACAGAGTTTCTCTTCCGCAAACCTTTTCGTCTGTCTAAATTGACTTTTACTTTTATTTTTACTTTTTACTTGATCAAAATCTCGTGGCTCGTGCACTTCAACTTTTCTGAAATCCCAAACCCTTTAAACGCTCATGAAATGCAAAGATTGACACTTAGATTTCCATATACTACTTTCCTAATATTTTGAGAATTTATTAAAACTATTTAAATTATAGTCGGAAAGAAATATATATATGCCAAAACTTGGGATGCGTTCGTTTCACGGAAAATTAGTGATGTGGAAAATATTTTTCAAAAAATGATCGATTGTATCGTTTAGAAAAATTAATTAACGGAAAATATTTTCATCATCGATAATAATTTATACCTAATTATTTTCGTGGGCGACGAAAAAAAATTTCATTCGTTTATTTTTCTAAACGATATAACCGATCATTTTTCGAAAAATATTTTTCAAATCACTCATTTTCCGCGAAATGAACGTGCACCCTTGTTGTCTATTCTTCTGCTTTGGGCCACCCTCGAGATGTTATATTTTCTGGGATTTTTCATATTGGTTTACAAAATATGGACGGAAAGTTAGGCCAATTTCGAAGCACCTTGGCTTTTCACTTGTTGGGAAAAGAAACTGGTTGCGGGTCAAATGAGTTGCGTGGGAAAATTGGCCTTGGTTGCCCACGTTTTCATCAACGAGATTGAACTCATCCTTCTTTCTATATTCTCTCTCGAGAGCCAACGAAATCCTCATCTTTCATGATTTCCTATGCTTAACGAGGACGGATCTAGAGAGGTTCGTTTCACTTAGATTTCAAATGACTCGAGATGGAAACGATGATTGAAGTCTATATGAATCCCGGCGGAAAGCTTGCCATTTGAAGTTTTAAATTAGTCGCCGTCTGGAGTACGTATCCCATGTGTACGGGACCTGCCGGTGCCATATACTCCGTCCGCCGGGCACCGCCCGAAGATTATGTGGGCCTAGCGGTGGTGCCGTATGCTCCGTTTGTCGGGGCGCCACCCAAGATCCGAGCCCGGAGAAGCAACGCGGTCATTTGATCGCAAGATTGATTAGGGTTTCGATCAAGTGAAAAGAAAGAACGATGACTAGAAGTGCACAGCAACATCCAATTTCTCTCGTACGCAATTGCTTCAAGGACCTTGATATGTGGCAAGAAAAGCCTAGAGAACATCCTAGTTGCAATCGGTTGATGTAGAGAGGTACTTTAGGCAGGCTTCCACGATTACCGCTCGACTTCAACTAATCGGCAATTCTCACACGATCGTATTTCTTACGCATTATATGAGCTCGATCTTGGGTCCCGAAGACTAAAGGATGGCAAGAAGTCTCGAGCAAGCAATTCGATCTCGACAGGCATCAAACCTACTCTGCCAGGAATCGAGGACGAACGACTGATAAAAGTTTAGGGACCAACCGCGTCGTTTACACCAAAAATTAAACTTTAATTCGGAAAAGAGAACAGCTTCACTCGTATAAAGACATTATGACATGTGATATGATGAAAAGAACAAAAAGAATGAACAGAGGCAGCTAAATACTGCAAAAGATGGCGCTTTAACGAGGCAAAGCTACTTTATCTTGCCCCTCCTAATCTCCCATTGCGTAGAATAGATCCCAAAAAACGCCCATCTCCTATTTTCTAGGATTCTTCCTTTTCCTATTTTCTCTAAGATTCTATGTACATAGCTTTAGAGGGGCATCATCTTCTTCCCTCCTACTGCAAAATTTTGTTCCCCATGTCCTGTTCACATCAAGAAAACAACTTTTGGTATTAGATAAGGTGAGACAGTAGTGCTGCCTTACAAACCAAATCTGGGAAATAGCTCTATTCGCCACGCTTGTTCGCAGAAGACGACGAGACATGAATCGTGGAGCTCCGTCTTCAAGCCAAGGCATGCCTCGGACTGTCGTGATCTTTGATTGAGTCGTGGCATTCTTCCCCAAAAGCTTTGCGGAAGAACGGGGTTCGGATCTTCCTCATGCACTTCAGACAGCTCAGGTCACCATTCAGAATTTGCGCTACCTGCAAAGGTGTCGTTCAAAATGGACATTGTGATTAACAAATAAAGACTAAAGTGTGGTATATATTCGAGCGATTGACTAGCAGCTGCTGTCCTAGTTCAGATATCAGTAGCATTTTCTGACATATCACAGATCTTTGGGTGATTCGGTATGCCGTCGTCTTTCAAGAACTTGCCTCGCTTATGCTGGGCCGTCGAATTGAAGACTGTTGTAAGCAGAGCGATGCAGCCAAGAGCACCAGATTGATCTGCCTCGCGTTGTAGTTGCTGCAAAGTGCAGGATCCAAGAGCTCTCTGATGTTATTCTTCCTGAGCAAAGGTTTTGCCTGAAAAAATCGCACTAATTCTCAATCCTTATTCCTCGGCCATTCAACTGTAAGCCGTTTAATTTCGTAAATGTGCTCGCACGTATATCCCGCATTAAAACGAAGTAAAGAAAAAAAAAATCAGTTTCATACCCAAAGGACAAGGCTTTGCTGCGCATAATCTAGCGCTCGGCGGCCAGTGACTAGTTCCAACAGAAGCACACCGAAAGCAAAGACGTCGGTCTTCTCGTCCACTATGCCGTGCATCAAGTACTCCGGAGCAAGATAGCTGTGAACGGCAGCATTTGGGAAACTTGAAGTTACACAGAATACTTTAGCCATGGCTTTAAAAGTAAATAGAGTTTGGAGCAGGAAGAACGAACCCGAATGTGCCTTCAAATTTCGACACGGTGTGGTGGGTCCATTTCTCCGGAAGCCATTTGGCGAGTCCAAAGTCGCAGATCTGCACCAAAATCTACTGATGTAAGGATGCCGCACGCCCAAAACCAAACCTCTTCTACTGGTGCGTGTACTAACTTGGCAAGATTTTCATCAGGTTTTGCACTAAAAAAAAACATTTGATGTACTGCATCGAAATGGATTTATTAGTCTCCATTTCTAACATCAAACAACATAGCACTAGGTTGACCTGAGGCTCAAAGTCTTCAGTAAGCAAAATATTTGCAGCTTTTATGTCTCTATGGATGATTCGCCTCTGACAACCTTCGTGAAGGTACAATAAACCCTCGGCAGTTCCTAACGCAATCTTATATCGCATCTGCCACTCCAGTGTTTCTTTTGCACCTGCAAATATTCAGGGCGATATCTCGATGGGCTTGTAATGAAATAACAGTTGATCAAACAATTGTTTGCTCAGATATGTGAACTAACCATATAGCACAGAGGCCAGGCTTCCATGAGGCGATAACTCGAGGACCAGATGCATTCCGCCTTCGACCCCATAACCGACCAACTTGGCAGTGTTCCGGTGATTGACATGGGCCATAATTCCAAGCTCGGAAAGGAAATCACCTATTATCTCGTCTGGCGTCCCTCGCATGAGTCGTTTAATCGCCACGAGTTGCCCGTTCCTCAGCTGCCCCTTGTAAACCTCAGCATAACCACCCTTCCCAATTAGGCGCTCTGAAGTAACAATGAAAAAAGAGTAGTCCAAGTCATACCACGGCAAGTTTGAACGGAACAGAATCGAAAGGTTGAAGTGTTCCGCTCGGATTTCACTAACCGGGGCTGAAATTGTTAGTCGCAGCTTGGAGCTCGGGGAGGGTGAAATATTTCCAAGAAGTCCTGCTAAATTCATTGTCTCTCGACAGGAAGCACGGTGCGAAGGCAATCATCTCCCTCATGCTGCTGCTTCTTCTGAATCGGGGCTTTAGGCCGACGAACGGATGCATCGGGGGCGATTGTTTCTTCGACTTTGTCCTCAAAAAGTGGACGAGCCCGCGCCAGCGGGAAGCATGTTTCCCATCTTTCCGGGCTTCGGAGTCCGAGGTGGTCGAATTGGTGTCCGACTCGCTGCTCCTCAGAAAGTCCTCCAGAACTCCAACAGGGGAGCTATTGTCCATCTTATGTTTCTCCATTACCCAGATTGTCTTAGAATATTATCCCGAAGGGTAAGCCGGAAAAATCTCGATATACATCCCGTATTGGAAAAATTGGCAGAATTTCTAAACGGAAAACATCAAACTTTGAGAGTTGCTAATTGCAATAGCAAACACAGTTGCTAGAGGAGATTGTTTGCCTACCTTGACGATTCTGTTCCCGTTTCTCACTTCAAATTATTGACTGATTTGGGCAGATATGAAAACCAAACGAATGCCTGCGAAAAAAAGAAACAGAGAAACATAAAAACAAGTCCACATTAAGAGAACTAATAATCAAATGCGAATTAATATGAAAAGCACACTAGTATGGTTGATTCGAGCTCAATTGACCACTTCAACCTCAGTTTCAATCTAAATGAAACAGCTTCCAATTATTCAGACCCACGAAAGAGGGTAAAAATAGCATTACATGTTCAACAGAAACTTAAACCTACGAAGCTGAACCTCTCCTCGTACATGGCCCAAGAAAAAAGAGGCAAGAAAGTTGATGGGCAAGCCACAAAGAAACTGGCCACAAACATCAGGCCGCCCAGCACAGAGTTATCCTAACGGCAGCAACTGCTACACGAAGCAACTAATCACCCCAGATCGAAAAGAACGAATTTCCGGCCAAGAAAAAGCCAAACGAAGAGCACCCAGAAGACAGACAAGGCAGAGAACGTACGGTGCAAGGCGAAGAGGCCCATGAACAGTGGATAACGAAAGCAGAGGAGGGTAAAAATGCAGGCTTTTTTTCCCACCAAAAAACAGAGGAGGAGGAGGAGGAGGAGGAGGAGAGGAGAGAGAGAGAGAGAGAGGAGTGAGGTGAGACGTTGATATAGATAGGCTTGCCGACTAAGATTTTCTTGGTGGTGATCCGAGTGGGGGTATCTTCTCCTGTTCTTGAAATGGATTGATTAATTAACAAGGAAGAAGAATGGCAAGCAAGTTTTCTGAGGGTTCGTGCTTCGACAATGATTAAAGAACGAGAGGGTGGTGGTGCAGTGCTGAGGATTTTGTCTGTCCAAACCATCAATGCCGTGGAAGCTTCCCCAGTCAGAGAGCGCTTTTAACTTCTGTTACACTCGCAACTCGCGCACGCACACGCACACGCACACGCACACGGTCTTTTGTTTGCTTGCGTGCGTGGTCGATGCTTTGGCATTCTTAAGGCTTCTCTGGTCAATGCGGGCCTCGACATGTAAGGGAGGAGGAGGAGGAGTCCCTCTCGGTACGAGTAAATGGAGGTTTCAGGAGTGCATTGAAGAGCTGCCCGGGTCGGTGGCCCGCCTAGTGGTTGTTTGCCTACATCACACGGGGACCGCAACTTGAGATCCGTTTAGAATCACTTATGATGCTTAAGATAATTAGTTAATGGATAATATTTTCATTATCGATAGCAATTAATTAATGTCTGAATTTTCGTTGACGATGAACATATATTTCGTTCGTTCACTTTTGTAAGCAATATAGGCGATCATTTCTTTGGAACACATTTTTTAGATCATCCATTTTCGGGGAAATAAACGATGCCTTGATCGATGTGCAATTACAAGAGAAAAGTAAATTGAGAAAAAAACATATTCATACAACTCACCGATTATTAACTCAAATCAATACATTTTTGTTAGGGCAAGCATATGATTAAATCGAAATTGTGGTGAAATAATGCGGAAGTTAAACAGATTTGTATTTTAAATCCAACGCGATAGAAAGAAATTACTAGCGAAATCAACCAGGAATGGTAAGGAACATTAGGGATTCATGTATTTCGATCTGAGCATCAGGTTATGCTCCACGGGGAAAGCCAATTGCAAAGAGATCTATTATACGATTGCTTAGTACCCAAGTGTTTCCCAAATCTAATTAGACCCTAAGCAAATTCACAAGTGTTATCTCGCAATCTTTTACAGAAAGCTCACATAAAGAAAACCCTAACACTCCTCTTATTTAATCTAATGTATTAAAACTAGAATCCACCTCTTACGTATATATATGAAAGCCTTTTAGCCAATTCAAACTAGGAATCCAACTCCAACAAGGATTTTTTTGTTGCTTCATATGTTTGGTCAGCCAAAAGTCTGATAAAGACTTCCGTTCACAAATTTAAATTGGAGATACAATTTAACAGAAATCTATACGTTTTGATATGCTTCGTATTAGAATGCTTTATTTGTACCAAAACTATAATGGTTTAATTAGGACAGGAATAACAAACATAACGTTGACTTTTCTAGTCTGTTTTCTTACATCAATTGGCATGAGTCATTTGTGCTCTTCTGGAGGAAAGATAGATACTCTAAGAACGTTTGGTTTAAGTTGAGTTTAGTCCCGGCCCAGTCATATCATTTCATATTTAGACTAAGATTGTATAACAGTTCCATGATAGAATTCCATATTCAGACCAAAATTATTAACCCTTGCCATTGATAAGGTGATCCTCAACGGCTCATTGACCAAGTTGACATCCTCGCCGATGGCAATGGTAAAAGGTATTCCTTCCAAGCGAGAGTTTCGCCACTGTCATTGATAGTGTCCGAGGCGACAATGCCCTTTTCCCATCTCTATCTCTCTCCTCTCTCTCTGTCTCTTCCTCACACAATTCGCTTATTTGGCACTCTCGCATGTTCAATTTTAGCCGCATCGATGACTTGATGATGTCAATAATGGCCGGCGACAATAAAAGGATTTGATTGCACAAATTACAACCCGATTGTGGATAGAGGATGATATGTCAAGAATGTCATGAAGTCAAAGGATTCAAACTAGAACTAGACCCTTGATTTAGGAGAACACACTAGCAAAAATCCTAGTACTCATCCCTTCTTGTGTGGGTTTCATCTCAATTTTGATGGGTGTTTAGAGATAAAAAGATGACCTACAACACTAATTTTGAAAAAAAATTGTGGATTAATTGCTGGTGCCTTGAGAATGTAAAGATTGTCGATCCCGGGAGCTTACAACACTTTATTTCTTTTTATAATCCTCGCAATCATTTTGACTGTAATTGGCACTAAATCCAAAACCCATCTGCAAGGAAACTCCCCTAGCTTTACTCAAATGAAATGATTGCGTTGGAGACATTCTTCAACTGCAAATCAAGGGATTGTTTTAAAGTTCAACCAAACTCGTAGCGTCATCAATCATTATACTATCGTATATGTACCAATCAAAGATCCTCATTCTCTTTTATATACATATACATATACATATATATGTATGTGGTGTGTATGAACATGGCTTGCTTGTTACGCCTATTGCCATTTTCTGACTTTTGGAATAATACATAATGTACAATGATTGCCAACATGGTCATTCTTGGATGTGTTTGTTATTGGAAGTGTCAACGTTGTCTTCTTGATCTACGTTGGTTGGTGAGGCTTGTTTCAATCTGACGCTAGGGCTGCCTTGTTGGGCATATAGGAATTGCTAAGTATGTATTATATTCCAAAAGTCATAAAGGATCTGCACCAATGAAAGATAAAATTGATTCCGAAAATGACAAAAGAAAAGGGATTATGTTCACGAAGGGGAGGCAGATCATGCATAGCAGAACGTTAGGGCAAATGAATGAGGCAAAGGCCTAAAGAGGCCGTGCACAATGTTAAGCCCATATACACTTTAGTCGTAGCAAGATCGGGTTTGGGCCGGTTTTCGCGTTAATCCAAGCATACCCATTGGTGAAAGGTGAGTCATCCATGCTAGAACGAGAGAATTCGTTAGGATTACTTCCTTTTAGTCCGACCCAAGCGATTGGCTCGAATAAAAAACGAACCCGAAACTTCACGCTTCTTGTCGCATGTGATCTAATCATCTCTCTGTTTGGTCAATCCTTGGGATTGCCTGGTTGACATATATACGAGATTCAAATATATATTATGTCCTTATATTTAGTAGTAGTCTCCATAGAATTACGAATAACCTCGCTCGAGTTAGCTGGGAGAGTTTCTCTAATCCCATTAGAAAGGGCAACATCCATTCCACTAAAGGGCTCATAACGATAGACTTTCGATTCTCAGCAAAAGTTTGAGGCTGAAATTCATCTCTAGGTTTATTTTCTTTATAGTAGAGATTTTCGGGGGATTAAAACTTTATCATTCCGCCTTATTTGGGTCTTTGAGATTATCGTTCGAACTCAATTGTGTTATATGAATATTTAAAAATCGAACTATAGATCGATTAGGGAAATTTTGAAGTCGAGATGAAGCTTAATCATTCAATAATCACCGCGTCTTTTTCTACGTAGAAAGTAACTATTATAACCTCAAATATTATACGTTGTTCTCAATATAAAACCAAAATGTTTTTTGTGAGCAATTTATTTCTTTTAAGCTGATAATTATAAGGATCATATAGAAAAGTCTAACTTAGCAGCATGATTACTCATTGATTTTCACACTGCATATGCCTATTTTCAAAGCACTGAAAAAAGGGATTAACATAGACCGATGGCAATTCCATTGCCTCCGGGAAAGACCACGAATCTGAGACACTGGAAGCCAAGTCCAAGAATGTCTTTGGACTGGCTGTACTAGGAGTTGAATCTCCCTGTTCTTGTCCAAGTTGGCGGGCTTGAAGAAACCTTTCTATTTCTTCCCTTGTCATCATGGGTGTCAAACAAAATTTGGGCCGCGAAAACTTGTTGCGATGGGAGAAGTAAGGAGAGACGTGCTCTAATAGCTATAATCATCGTGTTTTTCATGATAATTCTCTCGAAATACTAAGCGTGATAAAAAAGATCGCCCAAAAAAGAACGATGAAAGTTGTGCCCTCTCAAATTTATTGCTTTGGTCACTACAAGCCATGATGCCTAATCTAATAACAGCTCCTCTATAGGATTTTTTTCTATTAGTAAAATGGTGGAAAGAGGCGTTATCATAGAAGTTTCACACAATCTACGAGATGTTGATTTGAGTCAATAGAGACCGCTAGAAAGACAAACTTGTCATCATAACCCCTCCACAGCTCAATCACGCAGGAAATGTTAGTGCGTCATAAAGCTCTTGATGGTCGGGTCGCTATAATCCTTATGCTTCGGTGTTGTTTTTGTGCTTGGGACGGCCTTGAAAATTTCCGTACCTGGAGTGGCATTTCTTGTGATCAGCTTTAACAATAGGTGCTGGCCCTCGACTCCTCAGCATCCTCGCATTGGGCTCGATATCGCCGTCCCTTGGGTACCTACGAAATTTGGCCGAGAATTGCTGACATGGCAGTCTGGTCAGCGATGGCCGTGAATGCTGACTAGACTGCCAAGTCAGCAATTTCCAGTTAAAATTGGCCAGAAATACTACATTGGAAAATCATCAAAAGGTTTTGGACTAAATTGGTCAAATTGAAAAATTTAAGACTAAATTGGCTGCCGTACAATAGGTTTATGACTTTTTGAACAATTTTCCCAATAAATCACCGTGTTTTTTCTACATACAAAAGTAACTATTATAACCTCAAAATTTTCGTGTTAGATGTTGTTCTCAATTATAATTATAACATCGAATATATTATGGGGAGATTGTTCTCAATCTAAAATCCAAATGATTCTTGTGATCTATTAATTCATTGTAAGCAATCAATTATAATGATCACATAGAAAACTCTAAACTGACCAAAGTGATCACTCATTGCTTTCAGTTGCGTTTCGTTGCACTGAAACCGAAAAATGAAAAATCGGATTAATACCAAATTAATTGTTCGGATTAAAACCAAACGAAACGTTTCGACGGATCATCAATAGTCTGATGGAAGGAGCATGAATCTGAGACAACGGTAGTCAAGTCCAAGAATGTCTTTGGACTGGCTGGACTAGGAGTTGAATCTCCCATTTCTTAGTCCAACTTGGTGGGCTTGAAAGAAAATTCTTCTCCCTTACCTTGTCACCAAAAAATTGGGCCTCATTGGTGGTCATCACAAGCCACCACACCAGATCTAATACCGCCTCTTCCCTAGGTCAGTTCTTATCAGTAAAAGGATGGAAAGAGGCGATGAGTGTCAGGCAACCGCTATCGGATGTTATCATAGAAGTTTCGGGCGCTCTGTGAAATGTCTGATTTGAGTCGATAGGTACAACCAGAAGGACGAACTTGTCAACATAACCCCTGTGCAACTCAACCACGCGTGAAGCCGGAGGCTCACCATGGCCCAAGTGTCATCCATAAAGTAATCTAGATCTAGGATCGATGAGCAACTAGGATTAGACGGAGGGATTGGTTATTTGTTAACGACATATTGTGTCTCGACATGTAAGGGAGGAGGAGGAGTCCCTCTCGGTACGAGTAAATGGAGGTTTCAGGAGTGCATTGAAGAGCTGCCCGGGTCAGTGGCCCGCCTAGTGGTTGGCTGCCGTCATCAGACGGGACCGCAACTTGGGTTCCGTTTAGAATCACTTATGTTGCTTAAGATAATTAGTTAACGGAGAATGTTTTCATTATCGATAGCAATTAATTAATGTCTGAATTTTCCTGAACGATGAACATACGTTTCATTCGTTCACTTTTATAAGCGATATAGGAAATCATTTCTTTGAAACATATCTTTCAAATCATCCATTTTCGAGGAAATAAAGGAAGCTTTGATCGATGTGCGATTACAAGAGAAAAGTAAATTGAGAAAAAAACATATTCATACGACTTACCGATTATTAACTTAAATCAATACATTTTTGTTAGGGTAGGCATATGAATAAATCGATATTGTTGTAAAATAATGCGGAAGTTAAACTGATTTGTATTTTAAATCCAACGCGATAGAAAGAAATCACCAGCGAAATCAACCAGGAATGATAAGGAACATCAGGGATTCATGTGGTTCGATCTGAGCATCAGGTTCCGCTCCACGGGGAAAGCCAGTTGCAGAGAGATCTATTGTACGATCGCTCAATACCCAAATGTTTCCCAACTCTAATTACACCCAAAGCAAATTCACAAGTGTTATCTTGCAATCTTTTACAGAAAGCTCACGTAAAGAAAACCCTAACACTCCTCTTATTTGATCTAATGTATTAAAACTAGAATCCACCTCTTACGTATATATATGAAAGCCTTTTAGCCAATTCAAACTAGGAATCCAACTCCAACAAGGATTTTTTTGTTGCTTCATATGTTTGGTCAACCAAAAGTCTGATAAAGACTTCCGTTCACAAATTTAAATTGGAGATACAATTTAACAGAAATCTATACGTTTTGATATGCTTCGTACTAGAATGCTTTATTTGTACCAAAACTATAATGGTTTAATTAGGACAGAAATAACAAACATAGCGTTGACTTTTCTAGTCTGTTTTCTTACTTCAATTGGCATGAGTCATTTGTGCTCTTCTGGAGGAAAGATAGATACTCTAAGAACGTTTGGTTTAAGTTGAGTTTAGTCCCCAGTCATATCATTTCATATTTAGACTATGATTGTATAACAGTCGATAGAATTCCATATTTAGACCAAAATTATTAACCCTTGCCATTGATAAGGTGATCCTCAACGGCTCATCGACCAAGTTGACATGCTCGCCGATGGCAATGGTAAAAGGCATTCCTTCCAAGCGAGAGTCTCGTCACTGTCATTGATAGTGTCCGAGGCAACAATGCCCTTTTCCCATCTCTATCTCTCTCCTCTCTCTCTCAGTCTCTTCCTCACACAATTCGCTTATTTGGCACTCTCGCATGTTCAATTTTAGCCCAATCGATGACTTGATGATGTCAATAATGGCCGGCGGCAATAAAAGGATTTGATTGCACAAATTATGACCCGATTGCATGGATAGAGGATGATATGCCAAGAATGTCATGAAGTCAAAGGATTCAAACTAGAACCAGACCCTTGATTTAGGAGAACACACTAACAAAAATCCTAGTACTCATCCCTTCTTGTGGGGGTTTCATCTCAATTTTGATGGGTGTTTAGAGATAAAAAGGTGACCTACAATGCTAATTTTGAAAAAAAATTGTGGATTAATTGCTGGTGCCTTGAGAATGTAAAGATTGTCGATCACGAGATCTTACAACACTTTATTTCTTTTTATAATCCTCGCAATCATTTCGACTATAATTGGCACTAAATCCAAAACCCATCTGCAAGGAAACCCCCCTAGCTTTACTCGAATGAAACGATTGCATTGGAGACATTCTTCAACTGCAAATCAAGGGATTGTTTTAAAGTTCAACCAAACTCGTAGCGTCATCAATCATTATACTATCGTATATGTACCAATCAAAGATCCTCACTCTCTTTTATATGCATATACATATACATATACATATACATATATATGTATGTGGTGTGTATGAACATAGCTTGCTTCTTACGCCTATTGCCATTTTCTGACTTTTGGAATAATACATAATGTACAATGATTGCCAACATGGTCATTCTTGGATGTGTTTGTTATTGGAAGTGTCAACGTTGTCTTCTTGATCTATGTTGGTTGGTGAGGCTTGTTTCAATCTGACGCTAGGGCTGCCTTGTTGGGCATATAGGAATTGCCAAGTATGTGTTATATTCCAAAAGTCATAAAGTATCTGCACCAATGAAAGATAAAATTGATTCTGAAAACGACAAAAGAAAAGGGATTATGTTCATGAAGGCGAGGCAGATCATGCATAGCAGAACGTTACGGCAAATGAATGAGGCGAAGGCCTAAAGAGGCCGTGCACAATGTTAATCCCATATACACTTTTGTCGTAGCACGACCGGGTTTGGGCCAGCTTTCGCGTCAATCCAAGCATACTCATTGGTGAAAGGTAAGTCATCCAAGCTAGAACGAGAGAATTCGTTAGGATTACTTCCTTTTAGTCCGACCCAAGCGATTGGCTCGAATAAAAAACGAACCTGAAATTTCACGCTTCTTGTAGCATGTGATCTATGAGAAAGAACAAAGTAATGAAGAAATGAAACTACACAAGAACCAGATCAATAGAAAACCTCATCACCATAGCCATTTCTTTATACTCCATAAAAATTCATCTGAAAGCCCTCCATCATCACCACATTCTCGGACACACAAGGACAGAAAAATAGAAAAGGAAGAGAGGAAGAAGAAGATTATGAGAGAGGGCTCTACTCCGTTCTTATATGCTTTTGGTCACGGAGGTTTAGGGTTTTCACTCCTCCGAAATTATGGTTGTGCCCACCATGGGCCACGGTGTCAGTTCCGGGCCGTCTCACTCTTGGGCTGCAGCCCCAATTGTTTTTGGTCAGAGTCTTCGTTGTCTTCTTCACTTCACTATCTTGACCTAGAGCCAAATTTTCTAACGGACCTTTACTCTCAACATCCCCCCTCAAACTGGATGTGGTTTTGAAACCTAAACCCAGTTTGATTATGAGAGAACAATGATCAAATTTGGACGAGGCCTTGGTAAAAATGTCCTCAATTTGACGATGGCTAGGAACGTATTGCACATTGAGTAAACCCAACGAAACCTTGTCGCGGACAAAGTGGAAATCGATTTCAATGTGCTTCGTCCTCACATGTAAGATAGGATTAGATATAAGAGAAATCGCAGATTGATTATCACAAAACAATACCGTCGGTGAGGTTAAGTGAATCCCGCTGTCTCTCAGGACAAATGCAATCCACATAAGATGGCAGTAGTAGAGGCGAGTGCTCTGTACTCTGCTTCGGTCGATGACCGTGACACCGTGGTCTGTTTCTTTGCCGACCAAGAGATGATATTCGAACCAAGGTTAGTGCAAAACCCCATAGTGGAGCGTCTCGTATCGGCACAACCAGCCCAGTCGGCATCCGAAAAACCATATAAATTCAACGAGCTATTTGAGTGAATGAAAAGTCCCAAGTTAACAGTCCCCTTGATATAACGCAATACTTGCTTCAATTTATTTAAGTCACCCACTGTCAGATTCTGCATTTTCTGGCATAACACGTTCATGGCATACGCAATATCTGGTCCGGTTATCGTTAGATATTGCAAACCGCCCACTAAGCTTATGTATTCCAACGAGTTGTCAAGATAAACATCATCACCAGAGTTGTGAACTGGTTTTAGTGACAAGGGTGTGGAGATGGGCTTGCATTCCTTCATATGTGCTCATTCCAGGAGGTCAATGGCATATTTCGTTTGATAGAGAAGTAATTCTTCAGATATGTACTTGGCCTCTATACCGAAGAAATAGTGTAAACAACCCAAGTCTTTCATGTGGAAGCTGGAGCTAAGAGATTTGGTCAATTCAGTAAGCAGCTATTTGAACTCCTGGTTAACACAATGTAATCGACGTATAGCAAGAATAGGACTGTATCGTGACCCTTGTGTAAGATAAAAAGAGATGGGTCAGTAGCACTACAGAAAAAGCCTGATTCCAAGAGGAAATTGCTGAATTTCTCGAACCATGCACACGGAGCCTGACGCAAACCATACAGAGAATTTTGGAGCAAACATACATGATTAGGGAGTTTCGAGAATCCTAGGGGCTGCTCCATATATACCGTTTCATTAAGTGTACCATGCAAGAAGGCATTCTTGACGTCTAATTGGTGTATCGACCATTTTTGCACCATAGCTACCAAGAGGACAATGCGAATTGTCGCCTGTTTCACCACAGGACTTAATGTCTCGAGAAAATCGATCCCCTCTTCTTGGTGATAGCCTTTAGCTACCAAACGTGCCTTTAATTTGTCAAGGCTCCCTTCTGCGGCCAACTTGGTTTTTAATACCCATTTGCACCCGATTACATTCATTTGATCAGTTCGTGGAACCAAAATCCAGGTCTGGTTCTCATGCAAGACATCCATTTCCTCTCTTTCATGTGCAAGTGCTGATTTTATAGATTTGGGTTCTGCAGGAACCCGGTATTTAGCTAGGCACGTGTATTTGGGGTTGGGCTTTACAATCCTAGATTTAAGCCTTGTCTGCATTTGGTGAGTAGAAGTGATTCTCGGCTATTCAGAAGTCACCGCATCTGATATAGGTGGCTCACAACTGTTAGTTGCTTGAGTTTCTTTAGATTGTTCATGAACACACGTGTTCTCCAACTCAGTAGAGGGAGACATTTGTGACACAGGTGTTTCCTTGTAAGGCACTCTGATTTGTCTAATCTCAAGGACATCATTATCTTGTAAAAAATCCAAATTATCATATGCAGTATTTCTCGGCTGTGATTCTCTATTAGATCCCATGAACTTCACTTCTTCAACCCATTTCTTATACAAAACCGTATATTGAGGGAACACATCATTCAACTTCTGAGCAAATGGAAAGAGACCTTCATTGAATGTAACGTTTATGCTGATATAAATCCTCCCATCTGTTGGTACAAGACAGCGGTACCCTTTATGCTTCTCGCTATAACCAAGAAACACACAAGTGAGAGAACGAGGATCAAATTTGTGTTGCGCATACGGTCAGAGACAAGGATAACGTGCACAACCAAACACTCTGAGAAAATCATATCTCAATTTTTGCCAAAAGATCTTACTATGAAGACTGTCCAGCTACAGATTTGGGGTTGGAAGGAGATTGATGATATAGTTTGCAGTAAAAAATGAATCGACCCAGTAAATCAGTGGAATTCTCGAGTGATAAAGCATAGACAATCCAAGCTCCACGAGATGTCGATGTTTCCTTTCCGAAACCCCATTTTGTTCCGAGGTATATGGACATGACATGTAATTCTTTATACCATAGTTTTTCAAATGTTTCTGAAATTTCGTACTAGTAAACTCTCCTCCTTTGTCGCTTTGAAACACTTTGATTTTGCGGTCGAATTGATTTTCCACACCTTTTTGAAAGAGAATGAAGATATCATAAAACTTTAATTTTAACTTCATTGGATATATCCAACTATAACGAGAAAAGTCATCTACAAACATGACGTAAAATCTGAAACCTTGAAAGGATTTTACTAGCGACGGACCCCAAATGTCGCAATGAATCCTTTCTAGAGGAAAATTGGTTGCAGACTCTGATAAAGGAAATGACAACTTAGCACTTTTTATAATCCAACAGCTCCCACACATGGCCTGAGCTTGTTTATTCCACTGAATAAGTTTCTGATTCTGCATAACTTTAAGTGTTTGTGCATTAGTGTGAGCAAGCCTTTGGTGCCACACTTCTTCACCCCCTGCCTTGCGTCTTTGAGTAAAAAGAGCCTCGGTTGCTTGTTCACCGACTCTGTAAAGTCCCCCAATTTTCCTTCCGAGCATCACTACTAAGTTGGTTTGATTGTCCTTGACATAAACACCATATTTGTCAAAAACAAAAGAGCAAGGATAATCATCGATTAGCTTTGAGACTGATAGAAGGTTTTTGTTATTTCTAGAACCACTACTACGTCATTAAGGGTTAATATATCAAGCTCAATATGAAGGAAAGCATTACCAGTAAATGTGATAGGAAGGCATGATCCATCACCTATCATAACACTATCATTACCAGTATACTTTGAAGGGTTGTGCATTATACCAGGATTTGCAGTGATATGAGCTGTGGCACTCGTATCCGGGTACCATTCACTTCGCTTTGGGTCCTCAAGATGCATGGCGGCAAGTGCAGTTGGGATTTCCTCGCTTTGGAAGGAGTTATCGAATAGGTACTAGCACCTTAGTGTGTCATGTCCCTGACGCTTACAAATTTGACAAGCAACTCTCACATTATCAGGTGCTCTTTCTTCTTGATAATTCTTGTTCTCAGGTGATTTGGGTAAGGGGTAGGACTTAACATCTTGGCACCTCTATGAAGAACTTGCATAGGGTCTAAACCCTTGACCTGAGCCATAAGAAAAATTTTGTTGTCTGAAACTTTATGCCTCCTGATTCATACCATAGGGCCTGTCGCTCGGATTTCTCCCTTGATAACCAAAGCCACGGCCTCTGCTGTTGTCATAGCCACGTCCTCTGCCATTACTCCTTCCACCTCTGCCTTCATAAAACCAATTATTCCCTTTCTGACTAACAAATACATAATTTGGTGAATTAAACCCATTGTTAAAATCCACTTTCTGTTCACCCTCAACAGTTCTCTACCCATAATATGCCAAATTGGGGTTAAATTGATTAGAGGAGTAATTTTGCAGCCTTGCCTCAAATCTCTCAAGTTGTGAAATGACCTCATCATAGTCGGGTTGAGGTTTCAAGCAGTAAATTGTGGTTCTAAAATTCTCAGCCTAACCCCTCCAAAACGCCAAAAACCTTCGTTATCTCATCCACGGGTTTACCAATTGCGTTTAACTTATCGAAAACCCTAAACCTTCGTGACCAAAATTATGGTTGTGCCCCCCATGGGCCACGGTGTCAGTTCCGGGCTATCTCGCTCTTGGGCTGCGGCCCCACTTGTTTTCGGTCAGAGTCTCCGTTGTCTTCTTCACTTCACTATCTTGAACCAGAGCCAAATTTTCAAACGGATCTTTACTCTCAACGATCTAATCATCTTTCTTTTCGGTCAATCCATGGGATTGCCTGGTTGACATATATATGATATTCAAATATATATTATGTCCTTATATTTGGTAGTAGTCTCCATAATATTATGAATAACCTCGCTCGAGTTAGCCGGGAGAGTTTCTCTAACCCCATTAGAAAGGGAAACATCCATTCCACTAAAGGGCTCACAACGATATACTTTCGATTCTCTGCAAAAGTTTCAGGCTGAAATTCATCTCTAGGTTTATTTTCTTTATAGTAGAGATTTTCGGGGATTAAAACTTTATCATTCCGCCTTATTTGGGTCTTTGAGATTATCGTTCGAACTCAATTGTGTTATATATCGAACTATAGATCGATTAGGGAAATTTTGAAGTCGAGATGAAGCTTAATAATTCAATAATCACCGTGTCTTTTTCTACATAGAAAGTAACTACTATAACCTCAAAAATTATACGTTGTTCTCAATATAAAACCAAAATGTTTTTTGTGAGCAATTTATTTATTTTAAGCTGATAATTATAAGGATCATATAGAAAAGTCTAACTTATCAGCATGATTACTCATTGATTTTCACACTGCATGTGCCTATTTTCAAAGCACTGGAAAAGGGATTATCATAGACCGATGGCAATACCATTGCCCCCAGGAAAGACCACGAATCTGGGACACTGGAAGCCAAGTCCAAGAATGTCTTTGGACTGGCTGTACTAGGAGTTGAATCTCCCTGTTCTTGTCCAAGTTGGCGGGCTTGAAGAAACCTTTCTTTTTCTTACCTTGTCATCATGGTTGTCAAACAAAATTTGGGCCACGAAAACTTGTTGCGATGGGAGAAGTAAGGAGAGACCTGCTCTAATAGCTTTAATCATCGTGTTTTTCATGATAATTCTCTCGAAATACTAAGCATGATTAAAAAGAAGATCGCCCAAAAAAGAACGATGAAAGTTGTGCCCTCTCAAATTTATTGCTTTGGTCACTACAAGCCATGATACCTAATCTAATAACAGCTCCTCTCTAGGTTTTTTTCTACTAGTAAAATGGTGGAAAGAGGCGTTATCATAGAAGTTTCACACACCCTATGAAATGTTGATTTGAGTCAATAGACACCGCCAGAAAGACAAACTTGTCATCGTAACCCCTCCACGGCTCAATCACGCAGGAAATGTTAGTGCGTCATAGAGCTCTTGATAGTCGGGTCGCTGTAATCCTTGTGCTTCCGGTGTTGTTCTGCTCGGGACAGCCCTAAAAATTTCTGTACCTGGAGTGGCATTTCTTGTGATCAGCTTTAACAACAGGTGCTGGCCCTCAACTCCTCAGCATCCTTGCATCGGACTCGATATCATCGTCCCTTGGCTACCTACGAAATTTGGATGGGAATTGCTGACATGGTAGTCTGGTCAGCAATGGCCGTGAACGTTGACTAGACTGCCAAGTCAGCAATTTCCGACCAAAATTGGCTAGAAATACTACATTAGAAAATCATCAAAAGGTTTTGACTAAATTGACCAAATTGAAAAATTTAAGATTAAATTGGCCGCCGTACAACAGGTTTATAACTTTTTGAACAATTTTCCTGATAAATCACCGTGTTTTTTCTACATACAAAAGTAACTATTATAACCTCAACAATTTCATGTTAGATGTTGTTCTCAATTATAATTATAACCT